TCGATGATCAATACAGTTTATAGGACTAATGGTTTTGGGTTTGATGCAGTTTTTGCGCTTGCAAAGCTTATGAATGTCGAGGAAGATGACAGTCAACTTTCTGCTATTGCTAGGTATGACCTTTTTCACTTTACAGAGATGAAAGAGTTTTATTTTTAATTCAAGTGATTTTTTATTGATTCTTTTTTTTTAAAGCATATAGGCAAGGTTCAGGCAGTGCTTGTCGCAGTTTATTTGGTGGATTTGTTAAGTGGATTATGGGAAAAGTAAGTTATTTCTGAATGTGTTTAGCAGTTCATTTCTGTATGTATTTAACAGTTCACCTTTCATCAAGAAGGGAAGCCTTGTTTGGGTAACCAATGCTACTATTTTCTTCTAATTTGAAACGTTTAGGAGGAGGATGGGAGTGATAGTCTTGCAGTTCAACTAGTGGATGAGAAACACTGGGACGATCTTTTCATCATCATTGCCGTGGTGAGTATTTATTCCAATCCTCATATTTCACATTCTTCCAAGTATAGGCTTACAGTCTCTACTATTCAGTGAGATAATTTTTCCCTACAAGAAACACAAAATATTCTTACAATTAGATTTTGTTAAATTCTGTCTCAATGGATCTGCACCCTTTTCTGATAGTTTGGTAGTATTGATTGCTGAGACTACTAGTTTTCAAAGTTGTATTAAAATGCAGGAAGTGTATGAAAACCAATAATTGACTTGCATTTGTTTTGATCATTGGAGAGAAAGATCAATGTCTTCCCAAGCTTTGCATCTAGAGTATTTTACTTATTTTTCCACTTAGTTATTTTGATACATAAATATACATTTAATCCTTTTCATGCATAGATAAATTATCTGTGCCATACGATAACTATACGTTTAATCCTTTTCATGCATAAATATTTCTGTATTTATTTTTACTTATTTTTCCACTTAGTTATTTCGATACATAAATATACATTTAATCCTTTTCGTGCTGATACATTGGGTCTTGTATTCTCTTGATCTGCATCTATCCAACAGGTTTCTGGAAATGTTCCCAATAACTACTGTCAGTTTTGCAATACTACAATTTTTTTAAGAACCTGAATATTAATGAGGAAGAAAAATCCTATTAAAGTTTACTATGGGCGATTGATTTTTTGGTATTAATTTCCATTTTTCTGGCTATAGGTAAGTTCAAGGCAGAAGGAAAAATAGCACTGCTGGAATGCTTGAGAGTGTTGAAACAAGTTTGCTTTTACAGCATAGAGCAAAGGTGCTTTTTGGTTTATTTTTAAAATTACTAAGCAATTTGCTTGGATGAAACCAAAATAAAATTCGCTAGATATTTTAATCATTGAAATAAGATTTTGAGATTGTTTGAACTTGTACCGATTCATGCCTTCTTGTTACTGTTTTGAACTGAAATAGGAAGTTGTGCCAAACCGCACATTACAGATGGAAGAAGCCATAAAAAACCATGATTTTGCATCTTTTGCAAAATTAACTTGTGCTGATAATAACCAATTCCACGCAGTCTGCTTGGATACATCTCCACCCATATTCTACATGAATGATACATCTCATAGGCAAGTCCTGGTTTACGTATGCTGATTCCTTTTTGGAGTTTCGTCTTCGAACTCTAGAGTAGCGTTCTGATGAAATGGAGATCTTTCAGGATAATAAGCCATGTTGAGAAGTGGAATCGTACTGAAGGATCCCCTCAGGTTTGCATATTTGCCATTTTATTTGCAGCAAATGACCCTAATCTTGAAAATTTATCAGTCTAATCAATAGTCCCACTAAGTTGAGAAATGTTGTAAGACAGTTGTAAACTTTCGACAAGGCGGTGAAATGTGGAGTGCATGGCTGCCCGTGAGTTGTTTTGTTTAAATGGTTCAACCTCAGGTCTTAAATATCATAATCTAGAGTTTAAATGGCCCACATCCTTTGAACTCCAAAAGTTTTGTTGTGGTTGAGCCATTCAAATTCTTGGCCTCTAATTGTGATCCAACGGAGTGTTTGATTCAAGGATTGTGGGATTCCCATCCCATGTTTGGTTGGTCGGGAATCTAATTCCCGGTAATGTTTTATTACCAATAGTAGATTTTTTGGGGTATATTACCGGGAATGTCATTACCTCTATTCCCTTAGGTATTGTAACATTATCGGCGTTTTGGACTAAATGTCTTTAAATTTTTATTTTTTTTCAAAAATATCATTCTTCTGTCATTGAATAATAAAAATTCTACGAAGGTTAAATTACAAATTTATCCTTAAATTATTTTAGATTTACAAAAAAAAACTATAATTAAAATTTTATATAAAGTTCAGAGGTTAAATTTTTTTTTACCTTTTCATTAAACTTTTTTTATATTTTTAATTTTGTAAAAAAAATATATAAATATTATGAATTTAATTTTTTAAAGAAAATATATAAATATTTTACAATTTGTAATATTATACAAATATATAATAAAGATAATTTGGTCAAATATACATTCCAATAATCTTTTATTCCTTTAACCAAACACGGTAATATTATATTCCTGCTAAACCAACCAAACATAAAATACAACATTCTTAGTAATCCTATTCCCTGGTAATCTTTTATTCCCACTGGTAATCTTACATTCTGTGAACCAAACACAGGATGAGCAATCGGTTAAGTCAGTCGGTTTTTATAAATAACCAAACCAACCATCCTCTAACTATGATCGAACTAACTGGCCTAACCATACCAACATAACATCGTTCGGTTAAATTGGTTAACTAACCTTTTGTTTTCCTTTTAATATAAATTTGGTTTGAGTTGGCTGGTTGGATTGGGTAAACTTTTTTGGAATTGGGTTATTGCATTCTTGGGTTGGGGTTGTAAATTAGGTTGGGTTAAATTTTTATTTTATATAAATATATTCAGTTGGTTTAGTAGGTCAGTTCGGTTATGAAATTCAATAACCAATAACTGACTGACTTAACCATTTTAACCGAAGCCTGAACCAAAATTTCCAAAAGAACTGACTTGACCGAAACCGAAAATTTTGAATTTGTTGATTAAGTCAGTTTTAACTGAGTTTTTCTCCCCCTAGTGATCTCTACGTTCGTATGGAATTCGGGTTAGTGTATTTGCAAAATATTAACCAATTGATTTCTTTTTCTTTATTTGCAGTCGCTGACCATTGATTTCAGTCATTTTTTTTCCTTTCCCTCTAATTTTAGACAAAGAATATGAAATAAGAGCTCATAAGCCGTGCATTCAAGTGGCTAATTACTTTATGACTAGGCATTATCCCATCATGGCTGATATCTTTTATTAAAAATGTGCTGTTGATGATAACCAAGGCCATCCTTTGGAAAAATATTTTTATCCAAACTGTACTGTGCTAAGAGACCTTGTATAATATGTTTATGTTACTTCCAACAACTTCGTGCCATCAGTGTCTGAACTAGAGCGATCCATTTAATGTCTGGATCAAACTTTGCCGTTCAATCTCTTAGTATTTGTACTGGGCTTCTTAGAATTCTGCTTTTCTTTTCCTTCTTTTTAAGTTTTCTAGTACTTAGAAATTTATGATGAAAACTGACAGGTGGCATATACATTTGATGCTGGGCGTATGCCGATGAATTTTGAAAAACCCACCACCCACCTTCCTTCATGATTCCGGACAATGCCTCCACACGAAGTAGTACCCAACCCCCTATGCCAAGCTCCATCGGAATTGATCTTCACCCCACCAATAGGTGGACGATTCCAGCATGTTGACCTTACATTAGAATCATAGTACGGTGGCTGTTTTGACCTCTCCTCAAGCAACGCCTTGCACGTCGATGCCCAAATAAATCCTCTTCGATCTAACACCGAATGATTATCATCCCCCGGGGGGGAGGGGGTTGAAAGCAATAGAATTACTTTGTAACAAGTATTCTACACGATAGCTCCAAATAGGATATCCCACCATGACCAACAAAATCAGCAGCATTCCCAAGATTCAATGCCTTCAAATCGTGTAGATTCATTTCTATTAACTCAGACAACTTATTCTCTTTCACTAACGCAGACCAGATGAAGATCACCGAGGGGCAGCGACGCAATAAATGATTAATGTCCTCCACAGGAGCCGAGCAAATCAGACAGCTACCATCCATAGTGAAATGACGGCGAGCATGTTCAGCGTTAGTCATCAAACGCTCATTGTAACACAGCCATAAGAAAATTGCTCTGATTTAGTAAGCTTGAGGCTCGAATTTCAGCTTTATAATTGCTCTAATTTTATTTTAAAATTATCAACCAACATCGAAATTTTCATTTGTTTTTCATCACCAATAGTAATTAGTGACAATTTTATTATGTTCTCAGGGTTAGTTTATTTCAAATTGAAATTAATTACCCGATTAAGTTTAACTTAATTTATATTGTTGTTAATAGACTATACTGAAGGATATTGAGATTGAGTGTTATGGTCATGATGGGAAGAGGTTGGGTAGTCTAGGACATTGTATAAAAAGATTATGAAATAAAGATTAAGAAAATGTTTTAAAATATTTTTCTATTTAAACAATAAATGTTGCTTTTTAGTTGAACAAATATGTTTTTAGAATGAACGGTTATTTGGTACAAAGCTCGTAAAATTTATTTTAATTTCAAATCCTCAAAATTAATATCCTATGTCCTGACTATAATTTATAAATTCTAAACTTTAAATATTAAATTTAAACCTTAAATTTTTTTTAACATGTCAAGTCCATTTTATTAATATTCTTTATTTTATGTTATAGCTTACATTTAAGACTCAAACTAATAATTATACTTACAAAACTTATCGATTACTATAACATTAAAGATTTAACTAAAATAATTTAAAATTTAGAGATCAATTTAGAATTTGAATTATAATTTGAGGGTGTTGATTGAAATTTACCAATAATTAAATTATAAAAAAAAGTGCTACGACGCCGTTTTAATATACCTCTTGAACTACATAAATGACCTTAGAAGTTAGAATACCGTGGTGGTTTTTATGTTTTTATCCTTTTCTTTAGATACATTTTCCCTTTTCTTGCTCTTCAATCCAAACTCCGAGTACGTGAGAACTAATGGCAGCCTCAGCGATGATGGCGAAACCCAAACTCTCTGCGGAGCCGCCGTTTCCCACCACAAGACCCGACCATGGAAAGCATCCGTCGGTGGACCCAACGGGTGCCGAAGAAGACGATCTGTACTGCCGCCTGAAATCTCTTCAAAGGCAGTTGGAATTCATAGACATCCAAGAAGAGTATGTGAAAGATGAACAAAAGAATCTAAAGAGAGAGCTTTTAAGGGCACAGGAGGAAGTCAAGCGGATCCAGTCGGTGCCCCTGGTCATAGGCCAGTTCATGGAGATGGTCGATCAAAACAATGGAATCGTGGGCTCCACCACGGGATCCAATTATTATGTAAGGATATTGAGTACCATTAACAGAGAGCTGCTGAAGCCGTCAGCTTCGGTGGCTCTTCACCGCCACTCAAATGCTCTGGTCGACGTTTTGCCTCCCGAGGCCGATTCCAGTATCTCTTTGCTTAGCCAGTCCGAAAAGCCTGATGTCACGTACACCGTTAGTTTCTCATCTTATCCTTTTTTATTTCAATTCTGCTTTTTAGTCTGGAATTTGATTGATTCATTTGGATTTAGGGTTTCTCAGTTTACGATGATTTACTTGGAATTAAGGTTTTGTAATTTACGATGAGTTACTTGGAATTAGGGTTTTGCTTCCTTTCTATTTAATTAAGGGGATTTTGGGTAAGTTGATGGGAAAGGGGAATTTAAAACTTGGGGTTTCTGGTTGTTTTCAGTACCAGGTTCATTCCTTCATTTTTTTCGGTCGCCTCAATTCTTAAATTGAGTACTTGATTAAATAATTTATTTGAACATGTGATAAAAAAATTAGGTCGTTTTTGCTGCTTATTTATATGCCAGAGTCAACATATGAGATTTATTAGATGAGGGAAAGTTTAATGTTATTTGGGGAAATTGTATTGAACATTCATAATTTTGATGTTTGAGGCTTTGGATATATTTAAAAAGTTTTTTTCTTTCTTTCTGAGCTCTCTAGCCAAATAGACATAGATTAGGCCTCAAGCTGGAATATGTCATGGAGTGAATTTCAAATGCTATTTGGGGAAATTTTCATAGATTTTTTTATATATTCCTTTTTAATTATATGTAGGCATCATATTGCCTTATCCCCTGCAATTTCAGTTGTGCTAGATTTCCTGGATTAAATTGTTAGGATTCATGAATATGTAAGATCATTTTGTGTAGGACTGATGTGCTTATCACCCAAGTGTTCCAGTTTTTATTAGTTATATTTAACAATGATACTTCACATGTAGCATGTGTTTGAATGATAGTGATTTATTTCATTTTAAATATGCTTGTCGTGTTAGTAGTTATTTCTTTATAACAAACAGTATGATAATTTGTGTATCTTGTAGGATTCATAGTTGTCTATGTTTATTGTAATCTTGCAAATTTACTATTATATTGAAAATGCTATGATGTCCTCCTACTTATTTCAAGGGAACCTTTGCATCATTTCTCTTGTATGATTGTATTAAAAACAATTTACATGCTAGTGGTTTAGTTGCCTCATTTCTGTTGAATGTGTTTGGGTGTTCTATTATCTTGGTCCTTTTGTGTACTATTAATTCGGCTGTAGTAAATTAACAGTCTCTCTTTGAGTACATATGTTTTTGCTTGGAATGAAAATGACAATAATTATGTTTTTGATGTTGGTTCTGGCATCTGAGACTTTGTTTTCTTTTCTTAGGATATTGGAGGATGTGACATCCAAAAGCAAGAAATTCGTGAGGCAGTGGAGTTACCGTTGACTCATCATGAGCTTTATAAGCAGATTGGGATAGATCCTCCTCGTGGTGTTTTACTCTATGGCCCCCCTGGCACTGGAAAAACCATGCTTGCAAAGGCTGTTGCTAACCATACAACAGCTGCCTTCATTAGAGTAGTCGGATCTGAATTCGTTCAGAAATATTTGGGTGAGGTGAGGAGATCTAATGGTCAAGTTTCTTCTAATTGTCATGAACAAATTCATCACCCCTTATTTAATGCAGTACTTAGTTCTCTAAATTGACTTGACTTCCCCTAATACTGATTTTATCAAATATTGGCTGCTACCATATTCTGTTGATGGATAATAATATCTTAGGCATTTCTGTCTCAGGGTCCAAGGATGGTTCGTGATGTCTTTCGTCTTGCTAAAGAGAATGCTCCAGCTATAATCTTTATTGATGAGGTTGATGCCATTGCTACTGCTAGGTTTGATGCTCAAACTGGAGCTGATAGAGAAGTTCAGCGTATCCTCATGGAACTCCTGAATCAGGTATATATGATGAGGAATAACAGATATATCAATAAAGATGTTACTTATAGTGTTTTCCTTCAACATATACAAGGAAGTTAGTCTTTTAATTACTTGATCTTTTTTTCTGAACTATTGCTTGGGCACCCAACTTTTCTAGATGGACGGATTTGACCAGACTGTGAATGTTAAGGTCATTATGGCAACTAATCGAGCCGACACTTTGGACCCTGCTCTTCTTCGTCCTGGAAGGCTTGACCGAAAGATTGAGTTTCCTTTGCCTGACAGAAGGCAGAAGAGGCTTGTTTTCCAGGCAAGCAAAAATCAAATGCCTATGTCATTATTGTAGTTCAAGTTCTTATCTGTGTGTGATTCATGGTTCTCTTCAGTTGTGTATTTTTTTCTTCCTTTCTCTGTCTGGTTTAGATTGTGAATAGTAAACGTTGCAATTTATTTTCCTAAGGTAATGTTTTCCCTCACAGGTTTGCACTGCTAAAATGAACCTAAGTGATGAGGTAGATTTGGAAGATTATGTTTCTCGGCCAGATAAAATTTGTGCTGCAGAGGTTAGTTGTGGCATACTATCAAAGCTTCCTCTATGTATTCCTCTGCATTCTTTGGTTGTAAATATTTTTAACTCATTATTTTGCATGCCACTTCGATTGATGTCAGATTGCCGCTATCTGCCAAGAAGCCGGAATGCATGCAGTGCGCAAGAACCGATACGTTATACTTCCAAAGGACTTTGAAAAGGGTTACAGAACAAACGTGAAGAAGCCTGACACGGACTTTGAGTTCTACAAATGAAGAGATAACTTTGAGAATGCTGGAGTATTTCATGCGAACATCGCGGGGTGTGGCATGGGTAGAGCTATGTCATATTTTGAGAATGCTCCTGTTAGTTGAGGTATTAGAACTTTGAAGCAAAACTACCGGTTCTTTGATATTTTGTATGGGAAAGTTTTCAACATTACTTAAATGTGGCTGATGTATAATCAATTCAAAGTTGCTTTAATATGTGTTGTTTTATGGACATATGGAGTAGGGGTCGTTTTGACTTTTCCCTTTATGAGAATAACAACACAAATAGGCATTTGGTCAATACGTTCTTTTTTAATATATATATATATATGGAAGTAGGAACTTTGTATATTCAAGTTGGATCGGTCTAAGTCGGTAAATATTGTGCGGATTAGACAATTTGTATTAATATCTTCTGAAAGAAAATCAGATTAAACAAGCAGGAAATAATGGCGTCTAGAAAACAACATATTCCGTTTCCATCAACCCTATTGCTATTGGATATGGCTAATTGAACTTTTGAGTGAAAAGTGAATGGTCATAATAGCGTAGAGAGTGATTATGGTTTATGATTTTCTCCTTGACATTCCAAGTTACGGATGCAAAGCCAAAATCATATCATTTGTCACGGGTTCTTATCCTTCTTGCTTAACCCCCTAAACTTCACACGGGCTCATATAATGTCTTGATTAGTGAGGAGTTTCTCATTGCGGACGATGCAAAGAAAAGTCTTGATCCTCGGCCAGCTTTGTTGTTTATTCAAGATGTTCCATATTTCTTCTTGTTGATCAGAAGTATTTCCAGCAATGGCATTGCACGCTGAGAGAACTGTGAATTTTTTATTCTCCGTTTTTCCCCATCCTGGGGTATCTTTTGCTTCTTCTCAGATTGGGGGAGGGATAGCCATCATGTGGTGAAGAGCTTTGTTGTCAATGATTTGTTTTAGCAAATTCCAATTCCAGTCACTGTTACCATCCTTCATACCCTTTACTTTTATATTTATGTCGTCCGAAATGTTGATATTTCTATGATAGTTTCTGAGCGGACCAAGATCTGGTATCCAGTTGTCCTTCCAAAAGTCGATCTCTTTGTCGTTTCCGAGTATCCATGTAATGTTCCCTTTGCAAGTAGGCCATATTTTGCTTAAACCCTTCCACAGGTGTGGGCTCTTATTCCTTTGCAAAGTATCTGGTAAGGTTTCAGTGACTTTGTATTTACTGCGTAGGAGTTGAATACACAGATCGTCCTTCCTGGTCACAAATTTGAATGCTATTTTCATGAGAAAAGCATCATTTTGCTTCCTTTGTTCTTTAATTCCGAGACCGACTTCCTTCATGGGCTTGCACAGCTTTTGCCAACTAACTAGGTGTATCCCTCCTCCTTCCTGGGATTTACCCCAGATGAAGTTTCTAATAAATTTCTCAATCTCCTTGCATGTACAATCAGGCAGCCTTGTTGTTTGCATAGTAAAATAAGGTATTGCAGTAAGAGTAGCCTTTGCTAAAGTGATCCTCCCGGCGAGAGAAAGGTTTCTAGCTTTCCAACTTGTCAAGAGTGTCCTTGATCCTTTGCACTACTTTCTGGTATGTACCCTTAGTTACTCTGGCGTGGATGATTGGAACACCGAGGTATCTACCAAGGTTATCAACTTCCTCAAAGCCAAGCTTTCCACTTATTATCCTCCGGTTATGAATTTGTATGTTCTTGGAGAAGTAAACGGTCGATTTAGCTGAGCTCACATTGTGACCCAAGTAGCAGCAGAACTCTTGGAGAACTCCTTGGATAATATCTGCTTGTTTTATTTCTGTCTCTGCAAATAAAATGAGGTCGTCAGCAAAAAGAAGGTTCGATATGCAAGGGCTAAGTGAATTTAAATATATAGGTTTCCAACTTCCCTTTATTATTTCTGTTTTGATTGCGTGAGCTAGCCTTTCCATGCAAAGCACGAAGAGAAACAACTACTTAGTTTTTAGCCACTAATAGTTTAGCTTTGGTCAAAATAATTTTTTTAAATGAAAATCATTAATTAATTAACAGTAAAAAATAATATAATATAATATCACGTCAAATAATAATATTATAGTAATACCAGGTCAATAAAGTTATTTCGACAATTTAAACGCTAACCTATTTCGACGGTCAATAAAATCAATGTTTATATTATCTTCATTACCTCTCTTTTCACCACTTCTCCATTAAACTCAGGCGGATTTAAAAATTTAAAAATGAAAGTCCAAAATTTAAAAAAAAAAATTAAAAATAATGGGTATGCAAAGTTTTTAATTTTTTTCTTTTTTCCATGACACATTAAGATAAATTTAATCATTTTCTCAAAAAAAAAATTGAGATGCACTTGACTTCTATCGAGACTTAATGCATCCGCCCCTAATTTGAACCCATTGTTTTCAAACACTCACCAAGGTGAAACCACCACCTTCTCCTCCCACTCCTCTCATACAACTACTGCCCTAATTATAAGAGAATTTTCATCTTATTTATGAATCACATCCTGATGACTTATTTTTGAATTTATTCAAAAATAATACCTTTAAAATAATATATATTTTTTACGTTCTATTTTTATTTTATTTATTAACAAGAAGTTTTTAGACTTAAAATTATAAAAATCATATTCTTTCATCTCTTTTTACATATTAATGCATAATCAATAATAGTTTATTGGTGGAAACTTGAGAACCACTTCAATTAAGTTCACACTTAGTTTATTTTCTTGAATAATGTACAAAATAAATAATTTGATTTTTTTTACAGTTCATTCAAGCTTGTATGATCATTTAACTCGTTGGTTTGGTTTATAAATCAATCAAAATATCAATATGCATTGATGATTATAATGAAAACAAGGAAAATTTAAGTGTTTATAGATCAAAACGTTTTGATCAGTTTCGGAGTCTTCCTTACCTAGTGCCCTCGATCGATCAGATCAAAACGTTGTGGAGTCTCGTGCCCCGGAAGACGGTCTCAGTATGGGTCTATTGGTTTCTAATGGGGCAATAGGTGATTCAATTCGATTGCAGGGAGAAGATATTGGGAAGGGCCCAAAGCTCGGGAAGAAAAAGAAACCTCGCGAATCTAAAAAGAGCAAGCAAAAGGCTAAGGTTGCTTAAGTGTCTCGGATGTAGCTTGGGCTTTGGTCTGTTACCGGTTTTTGAAGGACTTTTAATTGATTGGAATGTGTTGCTTCTCCAAATATGTAGATGGTTCACCTCTTGGAGTCGGTTATGTTTTTTTCACATCAATGGATTTGGGTGTTGCTTTCGGTTATTTTGGTTTTTAGTGATGTGAGGCTCGGGATAGGTATGAGTTGGTATCGGATAGGGCTGTCCTTGTTTTATTTGGCTGTTTGAGGGGGTTTTTTAGAGGTTTTCTGATTTTTCTTGATTTGGTGTCTGTATCTAGATTGGTGCGTTCTTTCCTCTAAGGTGTACCGGTTTGATTATTTAATATATCATGAGGTACTCTTTTACTCCTTCCAATTTTCGTTGACATATGGTTGAGTATGTTGATGATTATGAAGGAGGTTTAACGAGGCCTCTAATTATTATAAAAAATATAAAAAAAAATGTAATATTTGTGCATCCTGTTTGAACCCCTTAAACTGGTTGAATTAGGGACCACTCATTCAAGGGTGTTGTTTTCTTGATTACCTTACCATTTTGATTCTAATGGCTTTCTATTTTCTAATCTCTTAAAGTTCAGCTACCGGTACATCAAATATTGTTGTGCGCATAATCCTACCTAGTATTCTAAGAATACCAAGAGCCATGCTTGTGTTGAAATATGTAGAAGACTCGCATGTAAGATGAGATTAAGTAACATATGTTAATATGGAAAAAAATGCAATCTTAATACACGTAATGGATTGACTCAGGACTGTTGCTTGGCAGAACATAAATTGTCAAATTTCTGGTTGTGTTTGCATTCAGGTGTTATGTTTCACATATTTGCATTTATCATCTACTGTTTCAATGTTCTCTTTAATCCTTTCCTTTTTTTCCCTAATCTCAAACAGTACCTGCTGATATGGCCCATGGGGTTCATCCAAATTTCATGAATAAGCACGAGGAACACCATCGACCAGAAATGCATAAAGGTCTTGTGATCAAGCACAACGCAAACCAGCGGTATGCTACCAGTGGCGTAACATCGCTTCTCTTCAAAGAAGTAGCAAAGCTTCATAACCTTCCTACTCAGGTAACCCTATTGTCATAATATAGTCGTCGGACTTGCAATTGAATCAGTTCACTTGATGCATTCTGTATTAGAATTTTTGTGAAGGTATATGTATATTTTTCTTGAGGTGCCTTTTACAAATGCCATGGGGGTCAATTTCCATATTTTATCTGTTTGGATAAAGGACTGATTAACATTTTATAGAATCAAAAAGGTATAATCGCACTCATGGATGAACAATTCTTCATTGTGTTGCTGGGATACATCGGAGATTTTGTCTAATTTTGAAAAGGAGGCTTTTATTTGAGAAGATGGCTGATGGCTTTTATTTGAGCAGGATTTTGTCTTAGTGTTATAATTCGAATTGGGTTTCGGCTAAAAGATCCTTTAACAACTCTGATTTTTACCTTTATTGCCCTTGTATACATATTTTTAGTTTATAGACCTTAAAGCTGAAAAAAGGGGGGAAACTGAGAATAAAATGCCCCCATGATGCTTATGTAGCTTCAACATTTAATTTGTAACTTTTCGATGTTTTCTCAAGTAGTATTATGCACTGTACCATCGATTTTTCAAATCGATGCCTTACTGTATTATCCACGTTTCCAGACTGATTGCATGTTGCTGTCACTGATTTTTAAGTATATAATACCAAGACTGCCCTCAGTGGGTCTCAGGTTTAATTGTTCTGTTATGTTAAATGCTGCTCATTTATGGCGTATTTCAATTAAAATTCATCGGAAGAGTTTGTGGTTTTAAAATGGTTGTCCCTTGTTCCCATATGTAATAGGGTAGGGGGAGGTAAGATAGTAGGTTGCCCCCAACACTAGGTTGAAAGCAGCTTCCATAAGAGACCTCCATGGTTTTAACTTTTGGTTAATTCTTTGCAATCTTTGTTTTCCGTGTTCTGAGTTAACATCGTTTTATCACTACTTGCATTAGGTCTATTTCCATTGAAAAAGAAGATTGAAGATGTCATTCTCCGAGCCGAAATGTTGGCACCGACTGCCTTGGAACGTGAAGAAGCAAGGAGGATACTGCAAGAAGAGGTGGTACACGATAACGATCTATGAACGACCTTGCTAGATCCAATGAAATTCTTGTCAAGTTGGCCGATGTTGTCCAAGTGCTTGATGCTCTCAAATATCTAAAATAGCAGGTGGTGTATACCAGAGAGAGGCTTTGTCTGATTTTATATCTTCTAATGAACTGAAGGTTTTCAGTAAATTATAGCAGTCTTCAGTCTTCACTTTATTTCTGCAACGCTGAAGAAGCAAAGCTGATTGCACAATTAGTCGAGATAGATGGCGTTAATTACAGCCTCTTTGAGCAACATATGATGCATCTTTGGTTACTAATGATTTGTTGGAATAAATATGAGGTATATAAGCTCCTTAGAAGCCCATATGAGATGGAGGGGGCATGTGTCCTTATTACAGCTGGTCCCCGGAAAAGAATCCGAGGTTTCGACCCCCACACTTCCTTTTCTTCTCTCTTGAATTCAACGTCGAATGCTTGACCCTTTTCAATGGAAGAATCATATGGCTTCGGGATTTTGCCTCTGCTTATGTGTGAATGTCTTTATGGTCAAATTGGATAGATACATAGACAATCATAGCCTATAAATAGGCATGTTTGTTGATGATGTTCGCGTTCAGGTGTGAGCTGAACACCTTAGCATGTATATCAAGTGAGCGAAGAAGCGAGGGTGATAGAATGGTTGAGAAGAACCTTTCTATGAACAAGTCAGCAACTATCAAATTTGATATGCTTATGGTTTTCTTTCGGGAGGTTAGTTTGCTCCACCTTTACTCGGAACAACTCCTGACCTCCAATTCAGTTATCACGATTTGATTCTTCATCCGCGCTTTGTCATTTGGAAATAAACAAAGCTGAGTTTGATATACAGTCTGTGTTCAACATTTCCATACTGCTTTAACTTTTCAATCTTCAGGTGTTTAATTTCCTCTGGGAATTCATAGATCATTATCCATATTTCGTCTCTTCATTGTTCCTCAGAATCATCTTTCATGTGCAGGTGATAGGAGCTACTTTGCTAATCAAATCAAAGCCATCAATCTATTAAAGGCCAAACTTTATTGTAGCAAACGAGCAAGGAGTTCCTGGCGTAAGTAGAATCAAAGCAAGCACCAGCATGTTAGTCTGGCAGTAGGAGTCTCAAAGGTACATGTTTCACCCCGGCAAGTTAGCACGAGATAACAGGCCTGAATAGCCCGACCTAAATTCTGTTCTGGGTGAAAATACTGAACAAAAGACTATTAATGACACTCATGAATCATGATCCGATCGTAACGTCTAAACCGGATTTGAATGTTACATAACTACACTTAGACTGGATTTGGATGTTACATTTACTGTCTAAACTTGCATTGCTTGCTTGTACACCCTACAATCAAAACATTATTCATACATATGTTTCTGAAAATAGAAACCCGAGCTACACTTCCCATCTTACTTTTATGAACACAAGTGACCCACGATCTGGTTAATGGCGGATGGCATAGCTGTCATTTCCATTAAATATAATGTCCTTTTGCCAATATAGACCAATTTTCTCAATATTGGTTTCACTCAAGATCTCAGCTTCCCGGAGAGAAATCCTTCCCTTGTTTGTTGGGTATAGTTAGAGTTCTAAAGTAATCACTGCCCATAAATTAGCATCTTCCGGCATTATACTTTTCAGAAGATCAGACTGGAAAAGCATAGAAGATGAAAAAAAAGTGTCCTAAAAGTGGAAGGATAAAGCACAGCATTGACAAGGAAAACATTAAAGTAATGTCTAAACCAAGATTCAGGTGGAAGAAACCACCACTTTTTTTCATCATACACAGCACACAGCTAAGAAAGGTCATTCAGTTTTGAATACTTTTAAAGCCCTTTCAAACCCACAGTTTAACCATAAGTGCTACCATTTCCGAAAAAACAGAAGCTATAGAATGCCAATGATATATATACATCAATACGTTTGCATAAACAAGCATATCAGGCAACAATCACTCTCAAAAGACTAGAATTCAAAACCTCACACAGACCTAAAGAAACAAACTACAAAACTGCGAGATAAACTGAACATAATAGGGGCTCCGCCAAGCTGAATTGGTCCTTGTTTGCACCATCCACTCCCAAACATAACAAATCAAATAATATCGATACCTACATCTACAGCATTATATATATGCTTATACCTTTATACTTACAAATCTTGCCTCTTCCTATTTTCCATAGTCTCTAGTGCACAGCCGAATTCATCATGGTTTAATTGGCCCAGCCACAATAATTCACCGAGTTCCACTGTGTCTGATTGACAGTTGGCTGTTCATTCGCAAAATTTGTCCTCTGCCTCCCCCTTGGATTCCTCCATCTTCGTTTATTATGCGAGTTATCATCATGAAATCTCGTGGTTTTATACCTCGACATGTACTGATCAGCGTCTACTCTCTTTCTTCCAGTAACATCCCATGTTCCCCAATCTCCAGTTCTACTATAGTCCACATAGCTGGAGTCGTTATTGTCCCAACCATTATAGTGGTTCCCCCTTTGGTTCCATTCCCAGGAGTTATTCCAACAATTCCCATATCCAGAATCTTTCATGTAGCCATTATTGGGCTCCCAAGAATTTTCGTTGTCATTGTTTCTCCAATTCAAAGACATGTTATTCTCCTTCACTGCACCCTCTTCAGCATCCCCCCAACCACCACCACAGACAAATGGTTGATTCAAAAGAAGAGAATTACCAAGAATCACAACGTGATCACTTTTATCCTTCTCGTCAGGGACCGTGGGCTCTCTCTCCAAGTCCAGAAGCAGCTCGGGATCAATTTCTGAGTCCCAATCGATTTTATCAATGTAACTATCTGGATCGGGGAGTCTTATGTCACAAGGAAGGCCATTAATCTCAGCCCAAAATCGGTTCTTAGCATTATGGAATGCCTCCTCACCAGCCGAGTCATTCCACTGGACTACGTTGTCATAAAGATACATAGATCTCTTGGTTTCGAGAAGCTTCCGCCACGGAACAGAGCCTACCAGAATGCAAAACTTCTTCTCCCATGAAGGAACAGTAGGCTGCCAGGTTGCTGGGATACGTGATTAAAGAATGTCAGATATATAATCAACCACCATAGAAGTAACGAAACACAAACAAAATTCAACAATTTCCAGAAAGGACATCAAAAATGATATTGAAAATTGGTAAGCTATTTATGGATAAAAATTAGAAAACAACATCCGAACCGAATAAACAAGCAAAAGCTGAACAAATTTGGACTCAACGCCATGTGCACATTGGTGAGAAGAAAGATCCAAGCATATTGGGTGCTGCTGGTGGAATAATTCCACATACTCTTTCAGGAAATGTATTGTTCATATGGAAAAATTCTCACATCCTGATCTCAAAATAACAAATGAAATGCCAGAGTGGGTTTCCATATCAATTCATGCATTTGGCACTCAACTGTTGCCAAATGCAACAAAAGGTTAGAACTTAAGCAAGTTCCTAAATCCTCAAGAAAAAGGAACATCACCCTATATATATATATATTTCCAGACTAAACTATTCCTTGAATTATGCTTCAATTTTACCCTCGCACCCATGCTCTCCATAAACATTCTTTCAGAACAAATACTTGATTAAATAAAAATAGTAGAAAATTGCAGCAAATTACACTACACAACCATCTGAATTTGATTAAATTACAAACTCACAACACCCACATCTCAAGAGAATATAAAAGAAACAAAAAAAAAACGAGAAACCCAGAGAAAATATTACTAGTTTAACAGACAAACCATTATAACTCATGAAAACACAAATATGTTAAAAGCTTTAACAGCTCTGCTCTTAACTAAAAGCAACAGAACATAATTAATTAGCACTAAGGCTTCAAGATCAAAGCTTTTTAATACATTATACCGAATTAAAAGCTCAGGAAATACAAATTCCAGAATATAAAACTCAAGAGGCGGCAAAAAGAAGACATACGGTTTTCTTTTAAAAGAAATAACAATTAAAGACTTAAAAAGATTACGAGCTTAAAGAGAAAAACAAAGAAACAAAAAAGAAAAATAAAAGAATACCTGGGGATGGCTTTCGGCTGTATGACCTTGTCCCCTGCATTCCTTGATGATGGATTTCACCTTTTTGTCTTCTCCAGTTATTATTCATAATCACAACCAGAATCTCCCAGAGAAAAAGCTAAGAATACCAAAAAAAATTATTAAAAAAATAACCTAGAAAAACAAAAACAAAAAAATACGCAGTGGCAATTGACCGGCGTTTTCAGACACCAAAACCGAAAAGAATCGAAAAGAAAAATCTGGGTTATGTATAATTTGAGCCAGAAAATATGATCTGAAACTTGAGGGATTTTGATTGGTTGAAAAGTTGCGGGAATTTGAAGGGGATATGTTGTTGTATTATATGGGGAAAGTTATGATAACTAGGAAAGTTTTTTTCTCTCTTTGTATATGTTTAAAGAAACGGTTTCAAAGGAGAATTTAAGGAAACAATTCGAGTCTCTTAATTGCCCGTGGTTTTCGTTGAATTTACAAGATTGGACCTGTTTAGTGCTTTGCTTCGTTGATAAGGACCGAGTCATCCGCAGTGGAAGTTGTCATATGTTCACGCGCCTAGTGCTGTTTGTAATTCAGATGCTTCTGCACTTTTCCAGCATATAAAACAAGCTATCGCCATTGTTAATTCCATTATACATTCCAAGCGTAACTTATATTCTAAATTAATCCAACTTTAAAAAATTTAAATTAAATCATTCAATTATCAATATTGTATCGATTCCTTCTATCAGTGTAGATCTTTTACCTTCATTGTTAAATTAGATATAATGTCAAATATATTTAAAATACGTTGATTAAATTTTAAGCATGTATTAATATGATGTGCTCAAAGAAATAATATTTTTTAATATATCATATTTACTTGAACGTTTAAAATATTATAATCATCTGTTGATATGAAAGAATTAACTTTATAATTCAGACAACTTCATGAAGAAGTAAAGCGGTAGAACTATGTTCATAGTCTTGGAAAATCATCTGCTCATATTTTTACTTTGTTATTTTTTTTTATTATACCAAAATTGCTCCATTTTCTAAATATTTTTATAAAATCATTTAATTATTTATACAATTTCTAATAATACTATAACGATTGTTCTATTTAAGAAAATAGTTCCACAGCAACGTTATATGGGAATTGTTTCCCCACCACATGGCTTGGGCCTAAACTACATAAAGCTTGAGATAAAAAGCACTCAAAATCTTTTTTTTAAAATAACTAAGAGATTTCATTTATCGAAAATTATATTAACAAATATTTTATTAATTACATATTAAACAAATACAGTTGTGACTATCAAAAATAAATAAAATCATTAACAAGTGAAGCAACAACGTACATAAACTGAACACACCAACGACTCCAAGCATCATGAAGGAGTGATACTTTAAGAATAAGAAAAAGCGATCTCTCCTTAATATCAATTTCATCCGACACATATATACGATAACTAATGAATCGTCTTATACAAACGAATAGAGTAACCATGTATCGGGAAAACAACAATCATATATTCAGGGAAATAACTAATGAATCGTCTTATACAAACGAATAGAGTAACCATGTATCGGGAAAACAACAATCATATATTCAGGGAAAATAAAAAACCGAAAATAAGACCAATAAAAAATTTGCACCGAGAGTCCAAAAACACTGGTAGCTATGATACTCTTTACTAGAGAAATGACCAAGAGTATAATTTATAATAAATACGATAAAACATAACTAAAAATGATAAGTTATGGTCAGAAAAGACCAACACCTCTACTATAAGGGTAGTTCTGTTGTATGGCAGCCTAATATAAGGTTAAAGAAAGACGCAAAAGGAAATATTAATATTTTTTTAATATTTACGGTAGAGCGCTACCTAAATTTTTTTCTACCGAAAATGTTAATATCAAAAATATTCATTTTAAGTAGAAAAAAATAACATTTTAACTAGCGTCAAATATTAATATTTTCGATAAAAAAAATATCTTATGTAACGCTCTACCAAAAATATTAATATTTTTATCAATATTTTTTTTAATCTTATATTAAACTGTTTTTATTTAGACATATTCTACAATAAAAGAAGAATTTTTTAAAACTACCTAAAAGAATTTTGTTAACTTCCGTAGAGCAAACAGTGGGAGCACCATCCAAAACGACCAAAATCTTATTTAAATATTAGTATAAATATGTTACAACAAAATTTGACTAAACTTTATTTCTGAGTTTTTGGCGCGGCTGCCACATGTTAATTTGGTAGGAACCATCTAGAAATTAGCGCGTTTGCTTTAGTAGCCAGCAAAGCAAAAAAAAAATGACTTTCTTAATGCCGACACCTATTTTTCGTGGCATTTGCATTTATACCCTCGCATTTCAAAAGTACAGTAGTCGTTATTAAGCCAAAGAATTTTTGTAGTTTTGATTAGAGGGTGTGGGTTTATTGGTCTATTCGACTGATTTCGAATACTTTGATTTGGAAACGTGCCTCATGGAACGAACACTCTACTTTCAAAACTGGCTTCGCCGCCTTTTAGAATTGCCGCCAATACCAGTCCCTTTTACATTTATTTATATTTTTTAATTCAATTGGTACAAGTGTTGCCTTATCTTTTGTTTGGCCCAAGATAATATTTTATGTTAATTAGGTTTCCAATAATGACCAAACTAACCAGGATAATGTGGGAAACGTCCAAAACTAACCCGATTGAATGAAATGGAAGAGTCTTGGATCTACTCGGTTTAAACCGAGACTATCCCTAGAAAATTCCCCCAGGTCGTGGGCCACCCTATATAAAATTAGCAATAAAAAGGCATACCCTGCCCGGTTTAATGACAAAAGAGACATAGACTCAAGTTGCCCGAGTTTTAATTCCTTTTAATGACAACTTTAAAAATATTTTCAAGAATAAAAATTTATATTTTAATAATATATTATTTTTAAATGTAGTCAACATGTATAAAATTTTAAAGTTAATACAATCACTAAAATTAACATTAAATATAAAAAATTTAAATTTCAAAATAAATATTTATCGAGATAGATACGCAACTGATTTCCTCCAACAATGAAGTACGAAATTTTTATTTTCAAACTAATATTGTAATTGAGAATAAGATGAAGATGTCCCGACTCTTGTGTACATGGAAAAATAGGATAAAAATAAAATGTTTAATTTGAATCATCGTTTTCTTTTCAAAAAAAAATCTTAATCCATTACCGACGATTGTTTATAACGAGAGAATACGTATCGTGACTAATTATGTATGTTAAATGATAGTGAAATATTATTTATAAGAGAGGATTTTATTGTTTACAGAAAATATTAACAATACCCGATATATTAATAAAATTAAATCAAATGTTTAATATATTATTTTAAAAGAGTATCACGTACATAAATTACATGATATAAATCTTCTTCTTTTGAATCGGAAAGAAGGCATACGCCTAACTAATTACAAACAACTTTGATATAGAGGGCCCCTGGACATCTCGGTCAGCAGTCGACAGAATTGAGTCTGGAGCAGTGTGGAAAGAGTGCAGCAAGAAATCACGTGGTTGATCGAGTTTGGCCATACCATCTGCGATCATGTTCTCCTCACGAGGAACCCAAATAAAATTCGTCTACCTGCTACGAGCACACAAGGAATTGATGGCGCGAACGAGGGACAGTGTCCAGGAGCAAGCATTTGAGTCCAAGAGCAACTGGATTGCTTGGTAACTGTCGGATTGGATTTGTAGAGCTTCAACTCCATAGTTCCAAGCATAAAGGAGGTCGGTAAAAATGCCCCAGAGCTCAGCCATCAATGGAGTGGTTATTCCCAAACTCTTATGGAAGCCGCCAAGCCATATCCCTTCGTTTGTGCGCATAACTCCTCCAACAGTGGCAAAACCAGTGTTACTATCAATCGAAGCATCGGTATTGAGGCAATAATCGTCTATGTTATCTGAATTATCTCCTTAATTTGGAGTGTTATATATGTTATCATGTCACCTTACACTTATTAATACAAATTATTTTGACTTATACGGGGTAAGTACAACGGTTCAAAGGTAATTCTCAACCTTAAACATTCATACTCCTGACATTCTCGGTGCTTGAACCTCGATCCTAAAAAAAGAACAATAATTATTTTACCACATAGACCACTTAATTCGTGCCACTTATTAATACAAATTAACAATTATAAAATTAAGTAGTCACAAAATCATGCATACGTAGTGTTCTGAAAAATTCGGATAATAGTGTTTTGAAGATCCCACAGAAATTACTAATTTATTAATAAATTCGAATGATCCATCTCCATTCTCTGCTGAAAGCATATAAAAAGGGGGGGGGGGGTTCTTCGCAGTTAACAATGATGCATTCATCCCAAGTATTCAATTCTCAGGCTTGAAAACCACATAAACCCAAATTCCATTATTACGGGCCAATGAAAAGTTTCCTGGACTCTGCATATTTCCCAATAAGGTGAGTTTGTCTGCCCTGGGCCTCTTTAACTCTACGGACCCAATTGACAATCTAATAAATGTAGATTTCGACTAAAAATCAATAATTTAGTTGATATTCAATTTATACTTTTGTTATAATTTAGTTCAAGCATGTAAATAATATAAAAGAGTTTAGTTGAGTTAAATTTAAATAATTAAATTTATCTCAACTAGGGTTTTCTTTCATAGGCATGCATCCCTCTGTCATTGTTTTATTTGTTCATAAGTTGATATGATTATTAAAAATAATTTTTTATTAACATCGTCGAACCTTTTCTCCTCGGTATGATTATCAAAGGGCAGCCCAATTTGTTGAAGACGATTCCAGAAACGAAAACGATATACAATCACATCACGTCCATTAAATTACTCAGTTGTTCCATACAATCAATGCATGCAGTCAAGGGAAGACATACATTAATGTTAGAAAGTGGCTTTTTTATTCAGTTTTCAATGTTGTTGATCATCAGTTTTTGGTGTTATAAAAAAGAGACAAATGATGGCAAACAGATGACTGATTGATCCACGTTCATGGAAGCATTAGAATTTAGGCACGGATCATTCTGCTTTCCAACTTGGAGTGTTTTTTTTAATTCACGATTAGAAATCAATTAATCCTTCCATTTGGCTAATATTTGCCAAACAAGTGACTGCAACACTTCTATTTTGTATTACTTTCACGGGTCAATGGAAATTACAGTTAAATTCACCTCGACTTCATTTAACAGGTCAAATCCTGCCCATCCCTCGAGACCCTTCACTTGTTACCGGACAGGGTCGAGGTTAGACCCGCAAAACTTCATCTTAACTCGACTACTTAAATAAAATTTAAAATATTTCGAACAAGTGTTTAGGGTTAATTTAAAACTTAAAATAAATTGAATTAAAATCGAATCAAGTTTGAATTTAATCCATATAGAATCATATTAGAATTAACACAAACAAAAAAACCAACTCAAGATTAATTTAGCCAAAGTCGTGCTGAACATGGATCAATGGATGTCTCATTCCTCCTAACCCATGCTGCATACGACAACGAAGTGGCGTCCTTTTCTTACACATATTGTTCATGGGAAGCTTTGTCAGCCTCAATAGCAAAGAATAACTAAAATTAATTGTATCCCATACCGATAAATGTTTGTTTAAATAAAATATCTAAATTTACCTTTTTTTTAATAAAGATTTTTTTTAAAGTTAAATCCACCCGGCGAAATTGTATTAGTCCTCTATAAGGTAACGATGTTAAAGGAAGGATAAATTCGTGTTGTATAATGCAAATTCGGTGGCTAAAAGCTCAAGGATCATTGTGAAAAAATAGTAAATTAAAAGATTAAATGTTATGCTATTCTAATTTAAAACAATAATTATATATATTTATAATTTTGAATGTTAAAACAAATTAATATTAATTTCAAAACCATTCTTTCGAAATATCGATATTTTTCAAAGTAGTTATAATACAATATTTAGTTAAAAAAAAATTAACCATTGACAACATGTACATATTCTATCAATATATATGTTTGAACTCAGAATATTTAAGTAAAATAATTATTTTTTTACTACTAAAATAATTTAATATGTTCGTTTGAATCAATATTTCAATATAAAGAACTAAATTCCAAATAAATAATAATTTTAAAGTGATCACTTGTAATACTGCATCTCTTGATAATAATAAAGTCAGACAAAAATTTTAAGAATTTGGATAATAGGGCCGGTTATATTTAAGCACTTATTTCTTAGTTAAGCATGGAATAAATTAACAAAACTTGAAGAAAATGTAGAGTAAAAAGGGAAAATGGGGAAGTTAGAAAGGATTGGAAGAGCAACAGGCAGATGGGGGTGGATTTATGATATATATTTCTTTAGAATTCTTGGATTTATGATATTATGTAAAGGGAAAGGTGGTGATGAGCCAATGTGCTGAGTTTCCATGAAGAAAGTGAAAGCATGCGAGTCTAAAGACATGTTCCATTGAAAACAGACATTTGAAGAGGCGATGGGGCAGTTTCGTGATAACGACAGTTGGGATTAGAAAGTGAACACACACACACCCTCCCTCCGTCTTTAAACATCATGACTCACTCTTCATCAAACTGCCTGCATTTGCCACATCACCCGCAATGATTTAGCTTCATCAAAACCAATTTATATAATAATATACTAAGTTAAAGAGTCGAGAGCAATGACCAAGACCCCCTTGGATTATCAATATACACGCTCATAGTTGTCCTTGTGTTTTTTTATTCAGTCATGTCAATATCATGAAACAAAGAATTTAATTCAGCGCTGTCTTTGCTTCTTCTTTAATCTTCATAATGCTTTTGTTTTTATGATTGAGCTTATGGATAAGTAGGATTCTTGTAACATTCTGATGCAGTTTATAGAGTGTATATATATACACACACACATCTGTGAGTGTATATTCAATTCCGGGTTTGATTCTTATTTTCATTAAAATAAGGTTTGAGTTCAAGTACAAAAGATGATGTGGAATGGAGTTAATTAGAGTGCTTCCATGAGTTCTTTCAATGGGAAAGAAAAGGAGCTGGTTTAGTTGGGTGAAGAAGATTTTCGCTTCTGATGCAAAACCAAAAACTGAAAAGGTTTATTCACGGCCTACTTTTTTTCCCCTTAATTTTTGTTCCTTTTTTGAATAATTGATAGCTTTGATTCATCTTTTTTGGTTCTCTTTGTTCTCTTTGTTGTTTGTAAATAGTTGGGTTGTATTTTCCAGAAATCAAAGAGGTGTAGATGGATTTTTGGAAGACTGAAGCTCAAGCAATACCAGCCTGCACTGGCGGCACCACCGCGGAGATCATTGTGTCAAGCAACGGAGGAGAAACGAAAGCATGCTTTGAACGTCGCCATCGCTACTGCCGCTGTAGCCAAGGCCGCGGTTGAAGCCGCACAAGCTGCGGTTGAAGCCGCACAAGCTGCGGCAGAGGTTGTCCGTTTTGTGGGAGCCTCTAAATCTTTCCATCATTTCACAACAAAGGATAGGAATCGAGCTGCTATTAAGATCCAAGCCGCTTTCCGGGCACATCTGGTCAGCTTACCTTTGAATTCCTTGCTCTTCTGTTATCTAAAATCATTTTTTCGATCATGTTGAATTTGATTGTGGGAATTGTTGTCATTATTAGATGTTCTTCAACTTGGACTGATATGATTTTGATGTTGCTGTTGAGCAGGCAAGGAAAGCCCTACGGGCACTAAGGGGGACTGGTGAAACTCCAAGCCATCATCCGCGGCCAAGTTGTGCGACATCAAGCAATGAAAACTATGAAGTGCTTGCAATCTGGTACAAAAATGTACCCAGAGATAAAGGAGAAGGGCATTTCTACACCAAAACTTGTTTGTCCAGACACCAGGAAAAATCAGAGCCTCACACAAAAAGATGAGTTGCAGCCTTGCAGGACAAGGACATCATTAAAGTATGTTTGATAATTCAAACCAAACCATTTCTTTACTGTTCTTTTTCTGGTCTTCATTACATGGATGAGGATATTTGCTGTAAAAATTCATGTATAATGTGCTTCATTATTTCCTTGTATGATCTCTGGTTCTAAATTTCACACTTTAGTTCAATCGCTAGACATTTTGTCGTGGCCAGCATGATTACTGTAGTCAAAGGGGTTGGAATGACAGTGCGGTTTGTAAAGAAGAAGCTGAAGCCATATCCTTAAGAAGGAAGGAAGCAACGGCCAAAAGAGAGCGTATGAAGAAATACTCGTGTTCTCATCGGGTAATTTTTCGTCTCTATCGTGTTTTCTAGTAAACTTTATTCTGCTATTGAGTACACATCGTATGCTTCATTGCCATTGATATCGTCTCATTTCCTTCAGGAGAAAGCGAGTACTCGAATGCTTGATGAATCCATGCATATCAAAGAAACCGGAAGGAGCAGCTTTGTGAAAGCAGAAGAAAATGACGAGGGAAATAGAAATGAAAGTGTGATGATTTTGACATCCAACAAAACTTTGAACTCGGGTACATGGGGGAAGTACATGGTCTACCTCATATTCGATTTAGAAATTTACAAAAGCAAGACATGCTAGACGGACTGAACTCGCCATTTTCGTTTCCAAGAAGATCGTTCTGCCGTGCCGGAGACGAGACTTCAACTCGCCATTTTCGTTTCCAAGAAGATCGTTCTGCCGTGCCGGAGACGAGACTTCAGTTCCAAGTTCCCCAGTTTTTCCAACATATATGGCTGCAACAGAATCTGCAAAAGCGAATGCAAGGTCAATGAGCATACCAAGGCAGCGGCTCAGATTTTCCGAAACCTGCTTCGAGTATTACATGCCACACAAGGGTGGACTTTCCTTTTGGTCTACATACAATGGAGAAACATTCGGTACGAATGAGAAGAACAGTCTGTCCATGAAACGACTTCCCTGAGTTCCCCATCGCAGGAAGATCTTTCATGTGCTGTATATGATGAGGAAATATAGATACTTGCTGGTTTGTTTTCGTGTAAAAAGGGTTTGGAAAGGTTTTTGTGCCAAATAATGAGCAATGCAAGATTTCGCTTGTATTTGAAAGAAAAATTCTTGATTTTCCATATGAATTAGTATTTGATAATTGTACTGATTGATTCTGGGATTATTACATTACCCTTCAAACAAAATTACTCGTATACTTAAAAAAAAGTATTTATTATTGTTAGTTTTATATTAATGTATTTTCAAATCCAATATAATTAGGGACAGTCATAGATGGGTTGGGTTTTTAGTATATCTAAAACTGACCCGAAAATTAAACATTATTTTGGTTTAGAAGAGTTCCACTCGATTTGAGATCCAATCCGATTTTAAGGTCAAAACTCATACTCAACCAACATATATATAATTTATTTTTATTAAATAAAATAATGATATAATTTGAAAAAATAATATAAAGAATAAGTATTATTATAATTATCCTTAATTATATAAATAATAATTATAATATTACATTAGATCGAATCAGAATATTTTTCATCCAAAATTAAAATTTCACCTAACTTCACTCTTAAAAAAACCTAAACTAAACTTTAAAAAAACTTAACTAAACACAAATTTTCAAATACGCGGATCAGGTTAAAACTCATTACATTATGAAGAAATATTCATCCCTAAATCAACCCAAAATAATTGTAGAAGACATGGAAGAACTGAGAATAAATTAAGGCCCGAAGTATTAATGGGCTTGAACCTTAATAAAATGTAGTATAGGGCTCATGAAACTTAGCCTGGTATATATACACACACATATCTTTCCCGGCAGCTCCTGTGGTAGGGTTTTAGTTATAAGCATATTTTTTTCCTTTCCAAAAACAGCAGCCTCAGGAAAAAAGAAAAAAAAACTAAGGGTTTTGAGTAGATGGGGGCAAAGGTGAGGAAAGCGTCGAAGAAAGCTTTAAAGAAGGCTTCTTCTCAATTTCTGAATTCTGATTCCAAAACTGCATCTTCGGATTTCCTAGTATGTTTTTGTTATTAGAATTAATTTTTTATCTGATTTGATTTTTCCTTGCTTTTTGTAACCCTAAACTGGGTTTGATTGCTCCATATATATGTGAATAAAAGCCATTGGAAGGCGATCCATCGCTTGAGATTCCAGAAACCAAACCCCTACAAAACAAAGCTACTGTCTTATATATTGGTCGAATACCACACGGTTTTTATGAGAAAGAAATGGAAGGTAAATGAATTTTGCATAAAAGAAGGGAATAGTTGCATAAGCTTTTTTTTTAAATTATTGATAACTGTGTATTTTCTTGCAGCTTATTTTAAGCAGTTTGGTGCCATTAAGAGATTGAGAATCGCAAGAAATAAAAAGGTCTTAACTCTTAAGCAATTGCGTCAATTTCACTGTTATGTGCATCCGTTTACATTTCTGTTTTTGTTAGCATATTTGCATTCATGGATCACAGGGGGGTTTCTTTTATTTGTGAGTACATTTTGGGAAAAATGCTTTAGAATGAGGACCTTATATGTTGTTGGGCGTTAAATGCCTACCCTTGTTTGATTTTTAATAACGATTGAATATTAGAGTTGTAGCTTCTTTGGTTCTGAAATTTCATGATTGAAGTTTGTGAATTTCTCTGCTGTTTAATTGAATATGGTATCTGATAGATATAATGTTGTCATTTCAAGGTTTTTATTGTTTACTAACATTTCACAATATAATTACCAAGTGTTTGCTTTCTCTCTTCTGCAATCTTTCATTGATGCTTAACAGACAGGAAAATCAAAGCACTATGGTTTCATCGAATTTGAGAATCCACAGGTCATAGACTCATAGACAGTTTCTGTTATTTGATGTCTAATAAAATTATGCTTTTCGTGATTTTGGTTTTTGACAATAATTCTTGTTGGCTGTAGGTGGCTGAAGTTGTAGCTGATTGTATGCATAATTATATGTTGTTTGAGCATCTCTTGCAAGTCCATATTATTCCTCCTGAGCATGTTCATCCAAGATTGTAAGCAATGAGTTACTTTTCAATAACGTCAGTTTCCTGTCCGATCATGTTTTTCAGAAAATTTATAGTGCTTGGTTTTAATCTGTTATGATGACAGGAAAGTTAGGGTTGGATAGTGTTGATTTGGGGGAAATGGTGAAGGGAAGAATTGGGAAATCACAGCAGTAATTAGGGGAAGATCGAATGAAGTTAGGGATTGAGGGAAGCTAGGGATTGAGATCCTATCTGAGGAATTGGGGATTGGAATCGGGGAAAAAAGGAAGAGTATGAGACGGTATTGAAGACTTGGGCAGAGGAAAGGATAATGGGTTTTAATACTCAACCCATATGAGTTCAGGTGGGCTTCTATGTTGGGCTTGCTGGATAGAATCATTTTAGGAGAGATGTTTAGAGGGTGAGTCATCTTCAAACGGTTATTTTGTTAGATTGCTGTTATGACAGCTGGTACTGAGTATAAATAATGTGTACCAATCCTTTAAAGGTTATCATATGAATGAATTACAAGTTTTATGTATCTATTTCTCTCTACACTTCTTAAATCCCTAAAATTCTCTCTTATTTGACCCGGAAACATAACAAATTGGTATCAGAGCTGAGTTTTAGTGATCCAAAAGCAATTTTTCACGCTGGGAAAGACAAGAAAAATGAAAAAAAAACTGGAATCACAGAAGTACCAGAACAATCAGCAGTGGAGGCTAAGGAGGAGACTTTACCTTCTTGGTGGGCGGAGCAGAAAGAAGAGCTGGAAGGGAGGATTCAAGAATTGGAGGATGGAATGACTGAAAACAGGGGGGTATTTACAGAGGATCCTACAGCTGGTCAATCAAGCAGCTGAGGAGAAAGATTCACCTAAGTCAGTGAAGAGTCAACCAACAGTAGCTGAAAAACAGAACAAAAATGGAGGTAAACAACCATGTTTGATTACGGTTCTTAGTGAGCATGAGAAGTATACTTTTCAACCTAATGAGCTGGGGATATTAGCTGCTAAACCTGTGGGGTTTACTGGACCTCAAATTTTTAATCAGAAGATGCAAGAAGAGAAGATTATGGGTAGTTCTAGTGAGAGTAAGGGGGGAGGAGATAAGCATGTTGATACTAGAAACTATTGTAAAACCCCTTTTGGGAATCCTAGTTCTGTATTACCTAGACCAAAAGTGGAATTACCATTGTTTGAAGGCAATAATCCGAGGGGTTGGGTCAGGAAATGTCAGAAATTTTTTAATCTGTTCGGAATACATGAGGAGCAGAAACTGGAAATAACTGCTATGTATTTAGTTGGGAAGGTTGAGACGTGGTTTGATGTGTACATTATGCAGAAGAATAAAGTGACATGGCATGAATTTGAGGTTGATTTGTGTCACAGATTTTGTGATAGAAATTATTCTGATATTATTGAAGAATTCAATAAGTTGATGCAGAAGGGGAGTGTGGAGGAGTATCAAGAAAAGTTTGAAGAATTAAGGCCTTATTTGTTGCAACAGAACATGCAGTTGGGGGAGAATTATTTTGTGTCCAGCTTTATTAGTGGTCTGAAGGAGGAATTAAAACATAAGGTGAAAGTGTTGGAGCCTAAGAACTTAGCTGAAGCTTATAGGCAAGCTAAACTATATGAGTTAGCTAATGAGATTGAAGGAAAGAAGTACAAATCTCCTAGTAAATTTTTGTCTTATACTCCTTCAAAACAGTCAACAGAACAGTGGCAATAGGAGTTTCTTACCTAAGTCAGTTCCTCCTAATACTAATCAAAAACAGAATTTGTTGGAATACAAGAGAGCCAACAATTTGTGCTTTAAATGTGGAGAAAAATTTGTTCCAGGGCATCAGTGCAAAGTTAGACAGCTGAATTGTATGGAGGAAGAGGAACCTATTGATTCTGTTGTACAGGGTTTAACAGAAGAAGAGAATAGAGAGGTAGAAGATCAAGCTAAAGAAATTCTGGAAATTTCTATAAATGCAATTACAGGGAGCGTGGGACATACTACTTTGAGGATTCAAGGTTTTATCAAGGGAAAACCTATTAATGTGCTAATTGACAGTGGTAGCACTCATAGTTTTGTAACTCCTCAATGGCCAAAGAAGGGTTGAATTGGTGCATACCCAACCATTAGTTATTACAGTAGCTAATGGGGAGAAACTGTTTAGTACGGCTAGAAGCAATAAGGTGAGTTGGAAGATGCAGGGTTATGATTTCCAGCATGATTTCAGAGTGTTATCTCTGGGAGGTAGTGATATGGTCTTGGGGGTAGATTGGATGGAAGTATTTAGCCCTATAATGATGGATTTTAAAACTAAAACCATCAGTTTTGAGAAAGATGGAGAAACTGTGGTTATAAAAGGGTCTCAAAAACTACCCTTACTCAGATCCATCACGGGAGAAAAATTACAAAAGTTAGCAGAAAAAGACACTGAACTAAGTGGGGAGCTTTATTTGCTAAGTGCTGAAGTGGAAGATAACTTAGTTCCTCTACCATTACAAGAACTCCTAGAAGAGTTTAAAGAAGTTTTTGAAGAACCAAGGGGAATGCCTCCTAGTAGGCAACATGATCATGCAATTATACTTAAACAGGGGACACCACCAGTAAACCTGAGACCTTATAGATTTGCTCATCATCATAAGGCTGAAGTTGAGAAACAAATTACTGAAATGCTGTCC